CACACTGGAAAAAATAATATTATATTGGCACAATAACACACACTGAATAAACTCTTAGGGAAGTGAGTTTGTAGTCATTGTGGGTACCATTGTAAAATGGCAGCCCATTTTCACATTTCGTCCCCGTTCACTTCCATGAAATGCTGCCCCAGTTTGGTTTATTACTGCTACACTATCAAACAACATTACAGTGGTACCTCGGGTTAAGTACTTAATTCGTTCCGGAGGTCCGTTCTTAACCTGAAGCACCACTTTAGCTAATGGGGCCTCCTGCTGCCGCCGCACTGCCGGAGCACGATTTATGATCTCACCCTGAAGCAGAGTTCTTAACCCGAGGTACTATTCCTGGGTTAGCAGAGTCTGTAACCTGAAGCGTATGTAACCTGAGGTACCACTGTATCTTCTGATGTACAGATAAGTGGTCTTCAGCTTACTCACAAGTAAGCTGAGCCCTCCCCTTTAAAAAGTGATATTTTTAAGACGAGAAAGGTCCGTGAAAGGAGGAGAAAGAAATACAGATAAAGAGGAAAGATTGACATATAACATTCCACCAGGTTGGATTAGATAATCCTCATAGTCCCTTCCAACTTTACAATTCTATGAGTCTATGATTTTATATGTATAAAATTAAGGTTTATGTCGCAGACTGAGGTTAAAAATAGATTCCATTGTACCAGCTGACATTACAAGTCCATAATACTTCTTCATAAAATTGAAAAAAACCACCCATATGTGAATTTAATGGACCTGTGCATTCTGATCCAGACTGCATATTTTTGTGCCTCATTGCATTTCTTGAGGGATTTTAGCATAAACTGCCTCTGACTGAAATGAATATACCAATATATCAAAAAGATGGAACAGAGCATATTCATTTGCAAACGGTGCTATCACTAAGCTATGCTGTATCACTGTCACAAACGAAACAAACAGGAAAAAGTGTATATACAGAATACACAAAATACCATAGGTTGTCATTAAATATGCCATGCATTTAACATTCCATTAATTAGCAAGCAATTGATTAAGGTTTAAACATATTCAGTGGTCCATTCATATAAGACTCACATTAAAAAGAAAATGTAATTAAGCACGGGTGCCCAATTTTGTGTATTTTTAAAATATAATTTCTTACACCTCTAAGCTTAGATTGTGACAAATACTTGTTTGATTCCAGAATTGCAAAAGCATATCCACTTTTCCCACGCTATCTTTCTAGAAAAAGAGGTGCCGGAGCTGACCACGAACTTCTCCCTTCTTATCTTATAATGGCAATGGCGCCCACCTGAGAGGTGCAGAGCTCCAGCTGAAAAAAAGTCCTACACTCTTCAAAGAAATAGAACATTGCTCCCAAAACTGTTTGAAACATCAGGTCTTCAACAACTCTGTCTATCTATCTATCTATCATCTATCTTTTGCCAAACATTACTTTACTAGCAATGTTATTACTAATTATACAGGTTGTTGTTGCTGTTTAAAAAAATCAATTTCCAGAAGGAAATTAAAAAGAAGCAGTAGATTCTCACCTTATTTCTACGTGGTTGCACTTTCCCTAGGATCATGTTTGCAGCTTGGAGCTGATCCTATAACCAGAAGCCCTCAGGGACACAAAGTTTACCAGTTATAGCTGGTGTGCTGTCTGCAAACTGTCCTGGACAGATATACGTAACTTTGCCACAGTTATCCTGCCATGCCCTGACCTCGCGTTATTGGACGTCTTTATTGTTGCATCCAGTAACATCAGTAACTTCAGTTAATACAAAATACGGCAGCTGGATTGCTAACCAGGACTGGAATCGGGGAGCACATCTCACCAGTTTAGAAATTCTGTAACTCACCAGCACCCAGTCAATTTCCTAGCACATTTTAAAAAAGGAGTTTTAAAGGGCTCAAGTCTTGGATACCTGAAGGAGTATTTCCTCCCTTTTGGAGCCACCCAATTATTAAGGTAATCGTCAGAGGCCTTTCTCCAAATTCAGAAATAAGGTGAGTTTGAGAAAGGCTTGCCTTTTCTGCCGGGGTTCCCTGGTTATTGAACGCTCCTCTCTGGAAGGCTCTGTTGACACCAGCTTTCTTGTCTTCACCACCTGAAGACCTTTTGATTTCTCCAGGTGTTTCAAGGTCACTGGATATTTAAAATCTTTTTGACGCTATGTTGGTTTTGTTTTAATTTCTGCCACTGTTTACGTTAAGTCAGAAAATTAAGTCAAAAGCATGCTGCCTTTAATGATTTGCATTTAATTTGTTTTGGTTGTTGGGTTCACTAATTAAACAAATGTCTATGTTTCCTGATCTATGCTCAAGCTCAGTGGATGTTACACCTCAACACCTGTGCATTCCCTCCAACATCTTGAAGCCAAGGCTCTCTCACGCTTGCAGAGAGCCCTGGCGTGTGTCATAATTTCTGGCGCATGCTGAGGTCAGCTCATAGCCTTTGACATCAACCGAAATTCAAAGCATTTAAACTGATTTGATTCCAAGGGTCATTCTATGGTGAAGAACAGTCTGATTTGTCAGCCCAATAAAGGGAAGGCTCCAGGATCCGGATGCTACTTGAGAGCAACGCTAACCTTTGCTGAGCGAATGTTCTACAGATAAAAGCTAGAGGGCGATCTTGTTTCTGAAAAGCTTCCTCTTGCCTGATCTCAGCGCTATTTTTCAAAGCAATTAAACTCTTTCAAAAGTACACCGCCCTTCAAAGCTGCAAAGGACCAAAGAGTGAAGGTTCTGGCCATGCTCTCTGAAGTCCATCAGCATCAGCACATGGTTTTTCACATTGTGACAGAACATGAGAATGTGCTAAAGTATTTTTTCTCTTGACACACCAACCACCGTGCAGTATCATGTAGGCAGAGCATTTCTTTTAGAATAAAAAGGTGCCGGTACTGCATACCCTTTAGTACTCCCAGAAAAAAGCTCTGCATGTAAAGTAAAGGTAAAGGACCCCTGAATGGTTAAGTCCAGTCAAAGGCGATTATGGTGTGCGATGCTCATCTCGTTTCAGGCCAAGGGAGCCACTGTTTGACTGCAGACAGCTTTCCGGGTCATGTGGCCAGCATGACTAGACTGCTTCTGGCGCAACAGGACACCGTGACGGAAGCCAGAGCGCACTCAAACGCCATTTACCTTCCCGCCGCAGCAGTACCTATTTATCTACTTGCACTGGTGTACTTGCGAATTGCTAGGTTGGCAGAAGCTGGGACAGAAATTTGTACTGTTTAAAATGACTGCATAAGATTGTTTTATTCTTTTTATGTCAGCCATCTTGTGAGGGCTTTGCTCTAAACGTTGGCAAAGATATCTAAAATAAAATAAATGAAACAATATTCTGAAACTTTCTGAACATGGGTGACTTATGTACGTAAGTCCCAAGTACCACTGATCTGATCCTTCCATGCAGCCTCTTGTTGTGAGTCAATATATTTGGACCAGGCTACTAATCCAATTCTGACCATAGAAATGGAAATAGAGAAAGAGATCCCTTAGCTCTCATAAAAGTAGAATCAGAACTGTAGTTTTGGGAAGGGACCCTGAAGATCATGAAGTTCAACCCCCTGCAATTTAGGAATATGTAGCTGTCCCATATGGGCATTGAACCTGCAACCTTGCCATTCTCAGCACCACACTCTAACCAACTGAGCTATCCAGTGCACTTAGAAAACACAATCAGAAAAAAGCAACAGCTCTTCCCAAGTTGCCTTGGGATAATACGGCAATTCTGGATGGTGGATATGAATCCTTGTGAGTGAGGAGATGAATACTGCATCTGCCTAAAGATCCTATCATTTCCTGGAACTTCACCAGCTACAAAGCCTGACAACGAGTTTAGGCTAACCTAACTAATCCCACTTTTTCCTGGGCGTTTGTTTATGGACTGCATGAACAAATGTCCACCAGTAAATTGGTTAAGGGTAAGATATGACATGCCCTTAATTATTTATGATAGCAATTTTCCCAGTACCTCCAGAAATATCCAACATTTCCCCCCCTTTCATGTTCATGCATCATATCTGCAGTAATTTTACAGCCCTGAGTGTTTTATTCTCAATTATAGGTGCTAAATAGAAAGAAACCTTGAACACTGTGTGGATTCTGGGGATAAAAGATGTACTTTATACCAAATTGCATCTAACTGTGAAGTGAAAAAGAAATAAAACTGTCATTTCGGATCATACTCTTCCTCTTTCGTTAACTAAGTTATGTTTGGGCAGTAACCAGCGTCACTGAAAATGCATTTGGTATTGTGTTTTACAATACTGAAGGCGGGCCCTATAGTAAAGTGGCCACGGGATACAGGGTCTTCTCAGTGGTGGCTCCCTGAGGAGGGCAACCAAGAGAGTCTTTTTCCAAGTGAACGTTCTTTGATGCTATTTTGGTGCCAGGAAATGTGACCTTTCTAATTTTATAACCTTTTAAAACGTGTGTTCCTTTTTAACTTTCGGCGACTTGAGTTTTTATGCTGTTATTATATTTGAAATCATTATGGGCTGTTGGACTCCTTAGTGATCTTGGCCTCCAGATCTCTTATGACAGGGCTGCAAACAGTGGACCTGAATGATTAAAAAGGTGGTTACTTTTTGAGAAAAGAGACATAAAACTGGGCTGTAGTCGTGGGTTTCCTGCATGGGGGAGGGATATTATTATTATTAATTAAATTTCTATACCGCCCTTCCTGCGAGGATCACAGCGCAGTTTACAATATAAAAACACAACAAACAAAAACAAACCCCCACCGCACACAACTTTAAAGGTCACAGGCCGCTTCATTAGCCAAAGGCTAATTAATGCCCTCCAACCCCGTGCATTCCCGCCCCGTCGAAACCCCTCGGGGAACCTAGCGATCTCCAGAAGGGAGCGCGTTCCGCTCGCTCTGGGCCTCCCCGGCCCCGCCCCCTCGGCGCGGCGATTGGCCGAGCGGAGCGCTTCCCCTCGGCGGAGTGGTCGGGGCTGCTGCCCGTCAGCCTCCGCCTGTCAAAACACACAAGCCCCGGCCCTGTCACAACAGAAAAGAAAGAGGAGCGCGAGTGTGTGTGAGGGGAGTTGAAACCGGCGGCACTTCCTGCCGGTTGGCGGGCTGGCGGCGGCGGGGAGCCCGGAGATGTGCGCGCTCAAATGTGGCTTCCGAGGGGGCGGGAAATAGGGGGCGCCTCCTGGCCGTGACCGGCGCCCCCCGCGCGAGTGAATGGGTGTGAGGGAAAGAGAGAAAGAGGACGAAGAGCGCGCGCAGCAGCAGCAGGAGGAGGCGGAGGCGGAGTGCGCCTCTCGCCTCGCCTCACGATTCTCCTCAGCTGCAAAACTCCCTTCATTGTCCCAAGTTTAGCGCCTCCCCGCCCTGCCCTTCCCCGCTTGCGACGGAGCCCCGGCGGCTGCGGAGGGGCGCCTGAGCCCGAGCGAGCGAGCGGGGCGGCTTTTCTCCTCAGATTTCCACGGGAAATGCAGCAGGCGAGCGCGACGTCTCCTTCGCGGAAACTTGCCTCAGCGGCGCTTTAGGAAGGGGAAGGGGAAGAGGAGAAAAAGGGGTTTTTTTTTATTCAGCCTGGCGCCCCTCGAAGTTGACGCGGCTCCGCTTCGCGATGGCAGAAGCAACCCCGGCGCCCGCGGCGGGAGAAGGCGACTCGGAGCCTTTCCCGGAGCCCGAGGCGCCCCGGAGGAGGGAGCGCAGGAGCGGGGTGTCTCTGGCCGCCGCCGCCGCCGCCGACCCCGAAGCGATCCTCCTGGAAGCGGCCAGGGCGACCCCTCGCAGGAGCAGCATCATTAAGGTAAGGATTGGCCGCCGGAGGGTGGGTGGGTGGGTTCACACGTGACGCCCGGCGCCGCCGCGCGTGTTCAGCCGCTCTGCTCGCTCGCTGCACCCGGGATGTTGCTGCTGCTGCTGCTGCGAGCTCGCCAAAACCCCCCAGCTCCTCTCCTTTTCCATCCCTCTGCGATCGGGATGTGGCTACACGTGTAGCGCAGCTCCGACGAGCGCCAACCCCCTTTTAATAGAAAACCAGGAACCCACACAGTTTGGGGGCGCCTGTCTAGGCCACTTAAGCTGTGGCGATGTTCACGGAAGGGTAGGAGAAATCCGGCGTGTATTTCGGTACATGCAGAGGAGGGAGATTTTTTTTGGGGGGGGGAGGTAGAGATACTTCCGACTTGCTTCCTTTAAAAACTTTCTTTTCTGAGGTTCGGCTGTAAGTGGAACATGCGGAGAGGAAGGGGCATCGTTAGTTTCTGAAAAGGAAGAGGATTGTCACAGGTGATGGATGGAGAGAGCCACCACCACCACCTCCTTTTGCTGAGGACTGGCTCACCACGTGGTCAGTTCTCTTTGTTGCAAGCAGGGAAATAGTTGAAATATAGGATAAGGGGGGGGGGGGAAGAGAGAGAGGAAATTTCCCTATACAGTAGTCAGATCTACGGCTACCTGTATCCCCTCTTGCTGTGACTATTTATTGTACCAGAATAACGTGTAATCCTCTGGAATGTCTTTGGCGGGTAAGGATGATGTTGGATGACTGGTTCTTATGAACGCCATGTCAACATGTGCTGTGGTTGTTTGCTTTTCCTAACTTAGGCTTGGAAATAACAGCCAGGAGAGAGGAGTCCGTACTTTCCCTTTTTCCAGGGAGTAGCTACATAGCACTTTGCTTCAGTCTTATGTCGTGTGCCTGCAGTTCATCCTTTGCACTGGCTTGGCCATGCTGTTTGGCATTGGTGCTTTAAAGGGTTCTTGGAGGAGGCTGCATCTCGGATGGTTGCATTAAGCTAATTGGTTCTATCCAGGATAGCAGGAGTTACTCCAAATCAGGCATCCCTTCACGTACTGCCGCCACCCTTTTTATTGCTTATTCCTGGAAGTGCTTGGAGCAACTGCTGCGCTCCATAGTTTGATTTCAGATCTGCTTTAAATTTAATCTGCTGCTAGTGAAGCAGGTAAAATCATATGGTAACAGTACAATAAGCCCTGCCAGCTTAACTAGGAAACCGCCAGTGAGTGTTACATTTTTTTACTCAGCAGAAAAACTTTTAGATGATGCAACACATATGGGGAATAATCAAGTGGGAGGAGCTTCTTCATTTGCTTAAATGAAGTCAGATCAAGAGGATATTTGTAGAAAAAGAATTATGGGATAAGATGCCCACAGCTTTGGCCCTGGAGTTATCCTTGATTATTGCTGTGTGTCCAGTTTTCATTTGGTATAAGGAAGGATGCTTAAGGAGCGGTAAACCAGGCTCCCAATTTTGCCCACTCAGTTGTGTAAATTTGCAAAGCAGAGACGTTCAGGTGCTTCTTCCCATCCCTGAGTATCTGGAGATTCTTCCGTTGGTTGGCTGTCCAGCCTGGGCTAGGAGCTGACCAGGCTTGGGCAGGAAATGCAGCTTATCTTTTCAGTAAGTTGCCATCAAGTGGGCTCCATTTATGTTTTAGTCAGACTATGTGCTTTCTATGGGGACGTGGGTGGCGCTGTGGTCGAAACCACAGGTCTAAACCTTCTGCCGATCAGAAGGTTGGCAGTTCAAATCCCTGCGACGGGGTGAGCTTCCGTTGTCTGGTCCCAGCTCCTGCCCACCTAGCAATTTGAAAGCACGTCAAGTGCAAGTAGATAAATAGGGACCGCTCCGGCGGGAAGGTAAATGGCGTTTCCGTGCACTGCTCCGGTTCGCCAGAAGCAGTTTAATCATGCTGGCCACATGACCAGCTGTCTGTGGACAAATGCCGGATCCCTCGGCCTATAGAGGGAGATGAGCGCTGCAACCCCAGAGTCATCCGCCACTGGGCCTAATGGTCAGGGGTACCTTTACCTATGTGCTTTCTATGTAGAAACATATGTACACATTCAAGGTTCAGCCATGTATCTACAGCACTGGATAGCTCAGTTGGTTAGTGTATGGTGCTGATAACACCAAAGTTGCAGGTTCGATCCCTGTATGGGACAGCTGCATATTCCTGCACTGCCGGGGGTTGGACTGAATGATCCTCAGGGTCCCTTCCAATGTGGTCAGGACTGCATCATGCAGAGTTTACCACCAGTGCTTTAAGTTTTTCTGCATTAAAATACAGTAACTAAAGTGCTTAATCTTAAAAGATCTGTAATGGGTGTGTGTAAAACAATATAAAATCAAGAATGCACAGATAAATAAGGCAAAATGTTATGAACCAGTGTACATAACTACATTTATATGTCTGGCTAAGCTTGTTGAAATAAGCAGGCATCTAAAACAGTAGAGGGAGGGTGCCTGCCTTATGGTAGTAATGAAGTTGGACCTTCAGACAATTTCAAATTACTAAACATAACCTTGTGTTATCTTCTGAACAGCATAGGAGTTAAGACTGGGGAGTATAAAGATTGGGGTGCACAAGTGTAGTTATTATTTTGAATTGAAGATTATATGGAAAGTGATTTTTCTTGTTTTTGTTTGCGGGAGTGACTGTACAAGGAATAGTTGCTGTGAATACTTTAAAAACAGAGTTTGAGAAAAGGGAAGTATTATGCCTGTTTTTGAGAGAGAGCCTTTATTAAGATGCTGGGGCACAACATACAGATTGCTAAGCATTTAGTAATTGTGTTGATTGTTATTTGACAGTGGACATATGTTATGAAATTATATTAAAAGCAGGAGTTCAGTTCCATAGCTTTCCCTTGCTGTAGCTATCTTGCCAGCCAGCCACATCCATGTAAAAATCATTTGTATTTTATTTTTAAAGAGCTAGAGATCTGTATGTAAAAGAAAAAATGAAAGTGATGTATTATGAGAATGCTGTTTGTGTATGTGACCTATGATGAAACTTGCTTCTTTGTGGTGGCTCTGAAAACCACAGAAGTATATTTTTACATTACAAAACATACCTAGCGGAGGTAATAATAAGTGATGATGTGCTGACTGGGGAGGTTCTGAATTGCTAAGACTGAAATCCTGTGTATTCTGACTAGGGAGTAAGTACCAATGAAAATTGGACTTCTGGGTAAACCAAGAAATATATTTGCCCTATATGTGGCCTTTTCTTGAGATGTGAAGTAGGGTGTCAGCAGACAGGTCATTCTTGGAGTTCAGTGGAGCGTTATATTTAGAAGTGGGGAAAAATACTTTATACTCAGATGGAAGATGAGCATCTCCCTGCCCATTTTCCTGCATGTGTTATGGTTTGTCTGCACGCGGCATGGTATGTCTGTTCATTGATTCTACATGGCTAGTATGATGACTAGAGTGCTCAGGTATGGATGTGGTGTTCATATCCTTGCTCAGCCCTGCTGTGGCTGACCATTCAGTGGTCTTGTAAAGCTCTCTCCCTCTAACAACTTACCGGTACTTTGTCGGGTTGTGATTTTAAGGTGCCTTGGTAGGTTGAATACACAAGACAAGAGCATTCCTGGCTGCTGCCTGCTAATTTTCTGATAAAGGTAAAGGTAAAGGGACGCCTGACCATTAGGTCCAGTCGTGACCGACTCTGGGGTTGCGGCGCTCATCTCACTTTATTGGCTGAGGGAGCCGTTGTGCAGCTTCCGGGTCGTGTGGCCAGCATGACTAAGCCGCTTCTGGTGAACCAGAGCAGCGCACGGAAATGTCGTTTACCTTCGCGCCGGAGTGGTACCTATTTATCTACTTGCACTTTGATGTGCTTTCAAACTGCTAGGTTGGCAGGAGCAGGGACCGGGTTGCAACGGGAGCTCACCCCGTCATGGGGATTCGAACTGCCGACCTTCTGATCGGCAAGTCCTAGGCTCTGTACCACAGTACTACTTGCTATAATTGCTAATCTGGTAGATTGTTTCCTGAAATCTGTGGATAATCTAGTCTGAGCCAGTTGTTAATATTTTATTTTATCAAAAGTTATTTAAGGGCTGCCTTTCTGAGCAGAACTGTCTCAGTGTAGCACACATAATAAAAATGCAAAAATGCAACAGCAATGCAAAAATCTAAAATTCAGGGTAATTTCTTTTTGAATCACCAATAATAAAACACTCACTAAGCCCAAACTATGAAAACACAACTCTCCTGGTTTTTTCACTGCAAAGGACAGAGCTATGGTGCCACCATGGAAAAGGCCATCCCACTTCTGCCCACTAATTTCACCTAGCTAGGTGGCGAGCAACCAAGAAAGACACCTATTAGCTTCAGTTTTTGTTTAGACCTTCAGAGCCATGTCACTGATATTGGTATTTATGATAATTATTGAACAAAATTTAAAACAACAACCCCATCAGAATGCTTGTTGCTGTTAGTCAGCGTAAAGAGTACAGAGTAAGTCTACAAACTTAACCCTACTTATCTGGGAGTAACGCCCGCTGAATGACATTTGACATATTTAGACATGGTAAGCAGTGGCGTAGCGTGGGGGGTGCAGGGGGGGCCGGCCGCACCGGGCGCAACATCTGGGGTTAGGGCAAATCCATGGGTTAGGGGGCGCAAATCCATGGGTTAGGGGGCGCAAATTACTTGCCTTGCCCCGGGTGCTGACAACCCACGCTACGCCACTGATGGTAAGGCCTGCATTGTAAGGCTCCAAAATGGTATTCTGGATGGGACATTTGATTATTATTATTATTAATCTTATAAGAGGTCTTACTCTGATGTAGTGCTACAAATGAATGGAAATGATAGAAGATGCCATGTGTCTTGCTGATTGCCATCTGCTTTGTTTCAGTAAGCTCCCCCACCCAACATGCAGGACAGAACAAACTTTGATCTGGAATTCCTTGAGTATCTTTCTGCTGCCATCTGGTTGCAATGTTTCTTCTGCTTGCTTGATCCTTTGTTATCTGTAGTTTTCTCT